CTGGAGTGCAGTGGTGCAATTATAGCTCACTGTAATTGAGCTTAACCTCCTGCGCTCAACTGATCCTCCGACCTCAGTTTCCCAAGTAGCTCGGATTACAGACAGGCATGGGCCACCACACCCACCTAATTAATTTTAATTTTAATTTTTTGTAGAAGCAGGGGTCTTATTATGTTGCCCAGGCTGGTCTTGAACTCCCGGGCTTAAGTGATCCTCTTGCCTCAGCCCCACAAAGTGCTGGGATTACAGGTATGAGGCACCACGCCTGGTCTAAATATATATTTTTATCCCCATTTTAAAGATGAGAAAATGGAGGTATAGAGAGATTAAGTAACCTGGCAAAGGCGACACAGGTAATAATGGCAAAGTTAGGATTCAAATCCAGATGGTTGGCTGGGCATGGTAGCTCTTGCCTATAATCCCAGCACTTTGGGAGGCTGAGGCAGGAGGACTGCTTGAGCCCAACAGTTTAGGACCAGCTCTGGCAACAAAGTGAGACCCCCCCCATCTCTAGTTAAAGAAAAATCAAATCGGCAGGGCACAGTGGCTGTAATACAGGCTGGGATCATACCTGTAATCCCAGCACTTTGGGAGGCCGAGGTGGGCAGATCATGAGGTCAAGAGTTTGAGACCAGCCTGGCCAACATGGCGAAACCTCATCTCTACTAAGAATACAAAAATTGACCAGGTGTGATGGCACTTGCCTGTAGTCCCAGTTACTCGGGAGGCTGAGGCAGGAGAATCGCTTGAACCTGGGAAGCGGAGGTTGCAGTGAGCCGAGATTGCACCATTGCACTGCAGGCTGGGCGACGGAACACGACTCCATCTTGGGGGGGAGGGAAATAAAAATCAAACCTAGACAGTCAGATGTCATAGCGCTTATGCCAAAAATGAGCTTCACCGTTAGGCTCTAGTATCTGTAGTCATTTTATCTCTATAAACCTCAGTCTTCTTGCTGTGAAAAGTGAATGACTGCCTCACAGCATTGTTGTAAAGATTGGGTGAGAGCACATAATAGGCTGTCAATATGTGGGGACAGTCCCCCTTTCATGTTAAGGTTCAGCTGCTTGGACTTGGAGTCTGGGGGGTCAGAGAAAGTTAGCTCTCTGGCTTGGGCCCACCTGGGCTAAGGAAACCGGCCTAGGGGCAAGCTGCCTACAGGGAAGCTGTGTCTCCTCGTCTCCATTTCCACTCCCCAGCGGGCTCACATTTCCCTGCTCACTCTATTTTCGCTGGCCTAGGAGGACGTGCCCCAGGAAAGTCCAGGGATCAGCCACATGGACTCCCTGTTCCTGTTCCCTATCTATCCTCCCCCCTCCTTGGAAAACAGGTGTGTCTGAACCGGGGCTGGAAGCAGAGCCCGGGAGCTGGACGACTGGCCTTGGGTGAGTAGAAGTCTGTTGTCCCTCAGTAACCCCAGAGGTCCCCACATACTCTTCTTTATCTTCTTCTTAGGATACCCCTGCTATTTTTTTTACCCTGCAAGGATTTTTAAAAGAAGGCTCTGGGTGGCTACTGACAGGCCTCTCATGGTTTCCTCTGGGTGGTGAATCACTCTGTGATGCCTGTAACCACGGGCCTCCTTCCCCCTAGTGAGATCACAAGCTTTCTTCTCTGGGTGTATGCTGACTCTTATACTGGCTGCCTACAGCCCTTGCAGGCCTCAAGGCTTGGCAGATAACCTCTTCCAAATTGCCCAGGTGGCTTCTTTTATTTTTATTTTTATTTTCCTGAGAGTGAGTCTTGCTCTGTCATCCAGGCTGGAGCGCAGTGGTGCAATCTCAGCTCACTGCAACCTTTGCCTCCTGGGTTTAAGCGATTCTTCTGCCTCAGCCTCCAGAGTAGCTGGGATTACAGGCATGCACCACCACACCCAGCTAATTTTTGTATTTTTAGTAGAGATGGGGTTTCACCATGTTGGCCAGGCTGGTCTCGAACTCCTAACCTTGTGGTCCGCCTGCCTCAGCCTCCCAAACTGCTGGGATTATAGGTGTGAGCCACCGTGTCCAGCTTTTTCTTTTTCTTTCTTTTTTTTTTTTTGACAGAGCCTTACTCTGTCGCCCAGGCTGGAGTGCAGTGGAGCAATCTCAGCTCACTGCAATGCCCACCTCCCAGGTTCAAGCTATTTTTCTGCCTCAGCCTCTTGAGTAGTTGGGAGTATGGGCACGCGCCACCATGCCCCGCCAATTTTTGTATTTTCAGTGGAGATGGGGTTTGACCATGTTGGCCAGGCTGGTTGCGAACTCCTGACCTCAAGTGATCTGCCCGCCTCGGCCTGCCGATATGCTGTGATTATAGGCATGAGCCACTCTGCCTGGCCGTCCAGAAGCTTTCCTTGTGACCCCAAGCTGCACATTGAATCTGTGGGTGGAGAGGGTAAAATAGGTAAGAGACTTTTACAGAGCACAGGAGGTGAGGAGGGCAGAGTGAGAACTAATGTGGTTAATGGTTGACTGTGTGAAGGGCACCATGCCACGTGCTAGTTATTACCTCCTTCAGTCCTCACAAAAATCAGATGAGGTGTTTATTATAATAATTATCATCATCACCATTTGACAGAGTGAGACAAACTCAGAGTATATAACATCATGGCCTCAAATCACAAGCCAGTAGGTGACAGATATAAAACTAGGACTGACACCAAGGTCCCCATGTCTAACGTACAGAGCTAGCTTTTCTTGGGTATGCTGATCACCCAGTGCCTTCTTCAGGGGAAGAGACAGGAGTGGCTGGGGCTGCCACCTAGTCACCGTGCCTGATAGCTGGTCTTCTTGATGGAAACAAGGCTGGAAAGGTGGGCATGGGATGGGTCAGGTTATAAAGGGTCTTGTCTTCCAATGATAAGTGACAAATGAGATGAAATTTTGTTAATGTAAGAGGCCCTAAATGGGCAAGGCTCAAACTCATCCTTTCAGCTGTTTCATGCCCACTGGTCAACTGGACTGGCATTTCTGGGGACTAAGGAGAGGATTTCCTCAGAGCTCCTGAGCTGCCATGAGAAATGGGTGCAATTATACACCCTGTTTCCTGTGGTGGAAAAGAAACCAAATGCCTCTAGAATGCTTTACTATGCCCAGTCCTCTCTGTAAACTGAGAGCAGCTTTAGTAATAATAAAAATAACAATAGTAACTCCATTTTATTTTACTTTATTTTATTTTTTGAGACAGAGTTTTGCTCTTGTTGTCCAGGTTGGAATGCAATGGCACAATCTTGGCTCACCACAACCTCTCCCTCCTGGGTTCAAGTGATTCTCCTGCCTCGGCCTCCCGAGTAGCTGAGATTACAGGCATGTGCCACCATGCCTGGCTAATTTTGTATTTTTAGTAGAGATGGAGTTTTTCCATGTTGGTCAGACTGGTCTCGAACTCATGACCTCAGGTGATCCGTCTGCCTCAGCCTCACAAAGTGCTGGGATTATAGGAGTGAGCCACTGTGCCTGGCCTACTAACTCCATTTTATTTTGAACTTGCTAAGGAGTAAAAAACAGCATTAAGCACTTTACACATGACTTCATTTTATACTCAGTCCTGTGGGTATAGTATTATTAGTACCTCAATTTACACTCAGATGGAGGCTCAGTGAATCTAACTTTACTTTGACTGGGGTAGCCTCAGAACACACCTCATAGGTCACGGTTCTAATCATTACCTTGTACTGCCTCTGATCCTCATATCGTCAACCAGCCATTCCCTTGGGGATGTGAGGGACTCAGAACTTTATAGCTACTGTCATTGAATGATTCCCTTCTATGCTCTTTACAGATATGATTCATCAGTTCAACTGTGAGCTCTTGACAGCAATGTGAAGCAAGAAGTGCATGTTATTATTATTCTCATTTTATAGTTGAGAAAAATGATGCTCATTAAAGTCAAGAAACCAGCCAAAAGTCACACAGCCTGTAAGTGAGTGGCAGAGCCAGGTATGGTTTTAAGATCTCTTGTCTCTCCATAGAATGTTCTTTTCTGTACACTGTTGTAGAAGAGCAAAAAATGGGTGGGTCATATAAACCAAGTTTATATAGTGTTCTGAGTTACAAAAAAGAATAGTGGCATGGGGCTTCTGGGGGCTGGTGGCAACACAAATTATGGGAAGGTGAGGGGAAGAAATGTCCTGTTATGGAGATAAAATCTCTCAGGAAGTAACAGTTGTCAGCCCTCTTCTTGACACAGATACCTCACTAAAAATGTAGATTTCCGTTGTAGATGTAAATTTATTTTACAAAAGAAAGGACAGCTTTTCAGAGCAACTCCTCTGTCTGCAGTTTCTCAGCATAACCAGCTGAAAGAAATAAGATAAATATATATTTTGGAGTGGCATGTTCTGGTCTCCTACAGTCATATTTGGGGTGGTGTGTCTTTTTTGAGACAGAATCTCACTCTATTTCCCGCTGGGGTGCAATGGCACGATGTTGGCTCACTGCAACCTCTGCCTCCCAGGTTCAAGTGATTCTCCTGTTTTAACCTCCCGAGTAGCTTGGGATTACAGGTGTGCATCACCACCACGTCCGGCTAATTTTTCTATTTTTTTTGGTAGAGACGGGGTTTCCCCATATTGGCCAGGATGGTCTCGAACTCCTGACCTCGTGATCCGCCCCTCTCAGCCTCCCAAAGTGCTGGGATTACAGGCGTCAGCCACGGCGCCCAGCCAGCGCCAACACTGTTAAGTGCATACTCCTCTGGCTTTAAACATACCGCCTAAATACTGCAACCCGTGCCGAGCTGTAAGTGACTGCACATGCGCACACGCCAAGCCCGACTCGGACGCAGGGCAGTGCCAGCCACGTGTTCCCAGGTGCCAACGCGGGCCGAGCGCGAAGGCGAGATCTGGGCAGCGTGGACAGGCTCTAGCTAATAAGAACGGGCTCTTGTCGAGTCACAAGACTAGATCTATGAAACTACACTTCCCAGAAGGAGCCTGAGGTGTCTGCCTTTGCTGGATGACGTACTTCCGGAAGATCGGCTCCGGATAGGTTGCTTAGAGGAAGTAGGCGGTTCTAAACCACCAGAGGCTGGGCCTATTTCCGGTAGGATCAGTGGACTCGGCGGCGGAGGGAGTGCGGAGCCGTCCCCTGAGTTTTTCCAAGGCTGTACAGACATGGCGGCGGCTTTTCGGAAGGCCGCTAAGTCCCGGCAGCGGGAACACCGAGAGCGAAGCCAGGTAGGACCACACAGGCCCCACGAGCGCTGGCCCTTGTCGCCATGTGTTACTCTCGTCTCAACCCTCTCGCCACCTTGGGATCCCAGTCCAAGCTGTATGTAAATGCATGCAAATGTATGCTAATGCAGCTGGCGTGGCTGGGGCGGGACTTCGCGGGAACGAGTGGAGGAGATTTGTCGTTCCCGTTCTAGCAAGAGCAAGGGCTGCTCCCCATTCCTTGGGGCCATCAAACCTACTCTGGAAGATTTCAGTATGGTGATTGAATAAGATAATATATGTTAAGTGCCTGGCCTCTTCTGAGGCAGCTGAGGTCAAAGCTCTTATAGGCAACAACTGCCAGGCTGAAATTGGATCCCGCGTCTTAATGCCCAGCTCCTCCTGCTGCATATGGTGGTACTCACCGAGGAGACTGTCGTTACTAATGTGGTATCATTATCATACTGGTCTTGTGGTTCATGAAGATCTGCCACATGTGCCTTTTGTTTATACCTTACCCCTTAATGTTGGTGTTTTCCATTCCCATTATACAGATGAGGAAACTGAGGTCCAGAGTGGTGACTTGTCCAGTTACAAACACCAGATTCAGGCAGAGTAAACAGTTCTAGGATTTCTATGGTGGGTGTGTCTGTGTGGGGAGATTGAGTAGAAATAAGTTTATATTGATACACTGTCAGGAATCGCATGCTTAATATCTGATTCAGAAAGACTCTTAGGCATACGTATATATGTGCTCCAACTTCATTTTACAGATAAGGGAGAGGGGAAAGGATGTGTCCAGAGTTGTGCAGCTGACTGATGGGATAGAACTAAGGCCTCTTAGCTATAGTTCAGTCTTCCTGCGTAATAGCATTTATCGGAGGTTTTTTTTTTTTTTTTTTTTCTTTTTTTCTTTTTTTGAGACTGAGGCTCGCTCTGTTGTGCAGGCTGGAGTACAATGGTGTGATGTTGCCTCACTGCAACCTCCACCTCCTGGGTTCAAGTGATTCTCCTGCCTCAGCCTCTTGGGTGGCTGGGACTACAGGTTTGCACCACCATGCCCAACTAATTTTTGTATTTTTAGTAGAGATGGGGTTTTGTGATGTTGGCCAAGCTGGTCTCAAACTCTTGACCTCAGGTAATCCACCCACCTCGGCCTCCCAAAGTGCTGGGATTACAGGTGTGAGCCACCACACCCGGCCAAAACTATTACCTTTTGAGCACTTACTATACGCTAGGCAGAGCCCTGCATGTTTTCCAATTGTCTCATGTCTCCTACAACATCCCTATTAGGTGGATGTTAATTCCTCATTTTACAAATAAGGAATCTGGTGCTTAAAGAGATTGAATAATATATTCAAAGTCATAGTTGTCAGTAGTGGATTTGTATTAGCAGAGAAGACAGAGGGCTTTCAAAGCTGGCCGTGGACATGGCATGGCTGTGGCTGAATAAGAACAGAAGGCCTATGTGGAAGAGGTGAGGAGAAGGCCATGCTGGAAAGGTGGGTAAACCATCGACACACACGTTCCATATTTGGGTATTTTGGGCTTTCTCCTGTAGATCCTGCCATAGGGCAGCAGGGGGGGCTACTGAAGATATTTTGTATGGAGGGCGTATACGTTAATTACATAAACTATTTCAGATATAATACCAGGTTTTCTTCTGTAATGCAGATGTACATTCAAGTGGACATGAAAGATCTCAAGAGTTCTGCCTCTTCTCATGTTGTTGCTCTTTTAACCCTTTAGCTTTCTTTCTCTACTCTGTCAACCTCCTTTTTGTTTGTTTTGTTGAGATGGAGTCTCATTCTGTTGCTTGGGCTGGAATGTAATGGTGTGATCTCGGCTCACTGCAACCTCTGCCTCCCAGGTTCAAGCGATTCTCCTGCTTCAGCCTCCCAAGTAGCTGGAATTACAGGCACCCGCTAATTTCATGCCTGGCTAATTTTGGTAGAGACGGGGTTTCACCATGTTGGCTAGGCTTGTCTTGAACTGCTGACATTGTGATCCACCCACCTTGGCCTGCCAAAGTGCTGGGATTATAGGCATGAGCCACTGCACCCCACCTATTATGCAAGTTTAAACACTAGAGAAGTGTATGCGTTTCCCAAAATGTTAAGATTATTCGCAACAGAAGAGAACTCTGTCTACTGTGATGGTCCTAGGTAAAAAGGGGTCTAGTTTTAGCTCTGCTACTTACTAGTTCAGTGTTCTTGGGCTTATCATTCTGTAAACCTCATTCCGTTTATGGAAAACTGTGATAACAGTAGTGCCTGTTTCACCTTCTTTTCATGGTTGTTGTGAGGATTAAATGAAATTGTATAATGAGCATAGCACATTGCTTTTTGACAGAGTAAGTGCTTCATAAATATGAACTATTATAATGATGTAGGCAAGAGAAGCCAGCATAGACACTGACATATGCTAAGTGCTCAACAAATGATGATATGTAGAAAGATCGTACCAAGATTTAATCCTTATACCTTCCATGCTCTCCAAGTCTGTGTCAGAGAAAGTACTTTTTGTCATACTTTTTTCTCATACCTAGTACCAGAAGTATAATAATAATAGTAGGGGCCGGGCGTGGTGGCTCATGCCTGTAATCTCAGCACTTTGGGAGGCCGAGGTGAGCGGATCACCTGAGGTCTGGAGTTCGAGACCAGCCTGACCAACACGGAGAAACCCCGTCTCTACTAAAAATACAAAATTAGCTGGTTGTGGTGGTGCATGCCTGTCATCCCATCTACTTGGGAGGCTGAGGCAGGAGAATCGCTTGAACCCAGGAGGTGGAGGTTGTGGTGAGTGGCGATTGCGATGAGCCAAGATTGTGCCATTGCACTCCAGCCTAGGCAACAAGAGTGAAACTCCG